ACCCTTTTCCAGAATTTCGTAAGCGTTTTAGCTTCGCCCAATTTATATATTTTTTTACTTTTTCTTATCTTTTGATTATACATATTTTTTAACGTAAATATTGTTGTCTTAGGTTATCATTGATTTTATCTTTTCAAAATAAGTTCCTAGCTCTCTTAAACTCTTATCTTGTATTATAACAAATTGTATCAAACCATGGTTTATTTCTAGACGTGTATTCGCGAGTTTTTGACTTAAAATTATTTCATGTCAAATCGTGTTAACGTTGGACTACTTTTTAAACAGGAATTTAATATGAAATAAATGCTACTATTGGCTAGTAAAAGGATAAGAAGCTTCATTGCAGACAGGAAATGCAAGTAGCTTAGTATAGTATGATTTTAATTTAGATATGTTATGTAATATTCTACAAATAAATAAAAAAATACCGTTAAAATAATTGAATACAAATTAATATCTATATATAGCATTAGTTAACAGTACAATAATATTCACGATTTTTTGTAACAGATTGAAGAATGACAGTACACAGGTAGCATCACTCGAATAAGGCAAGCGTAAGACGTTTTACTGTGAAAATTAAATTCATTACATATGATAAATAAACGTATCCAAAAATTTGTATGAAGTACATCCTTAAATTTGCGAAAAAATCATCTTATGCATAGGCTTTTACAATTCGTACTTTAATTTAATTGAATATAGACATGGGTATGCAATTATATGTATTACATTATTAGGTCCTCCATATATTCATAGTTATATAATTATGCTTGTTATTAAATGCATAACACATTTGTGTGTATGGAAGTGAAAAGTTCTGATTGGTGTAAAGTATAAATTAATGAAATACTTAAATCATTATTCCAACACTCCTCGTGCTTTTGTCACCTTAGACAACTTGAAAAAAAAACGGTATTAAACTGCCAATAGACACTGGTTATGGACTACTTGATTATGCGGCTGTTATGTTTTCTCCCACGATTACGGTATATAGTTTACAAAGCCTTTTAAAGCAACTATAAAAAACATGTTTATTGATATTTTCAGTTTTCTTTTCATTCAATACTGAAATAATACCTCACATACACTAACGCCACAGATTTGATCCATATAGGGTGCAAAATCGAACAGCGTTATACGAAAATCCCGATATCATTTCTTAAATCTAATACATTTATATTGTAGGTAGATCATTCAATTGCAAACAAACATGTTATAATATCTTGACCACTATAAGTTATTGCATTGGCAATAATTCTTATTCAGTTCTGTTTTTTTTGCTAGCCAAAGTTAATATTTTTCTCAAGGTTGAAGATCTATCACACGTTTGATTTTGACAGATTCAGCCTTGCTTTGTTTAAAAATGTTACTATGGAATGGTTTTTTTTACAATGTAAGAGGCAGCATTCTTCTTTAGGAAAGCAAGCAAAAGCACTAGATTAAAAATAAAAAAATGACTTTAATTGTATATAGAGGATATTGAATGAGTGTATGTTCAATACTGAATTTATTGCACGAGTTGAATAAATTATATTATGCGAGCCTCTAGCGAGATCAATAAATTTAGTAATGGACATACACGAAGTTAATATTTCATTTATCACATACCCAAAATAAAGACCGTTTAAAGTGAAAAAAGCCATTTTTCATTGACGCGCCTATAGTATTACGCTAACATTTAGCGCGTATTTACACTATGTTTGTATAACGCCAATGACGTCACGTCAAAATATATGCACGGCCGTGCAATACCATTTTTACTGAGTCGCAAAATCGACACTGGTGTGTGATAAATAGAGGATATTGAATGAGTGTAAGTTCAATACTCAATTTATTGCACGAGTTGAATAAAATTATATTATGCGAGCCTCTGGCGAGCATAATATTATTTTATTCAACGAGTGCAAATATTCAGTATTGAACTTACACTCATTTAATACTCTATTTATCACATACCCAAATAAAGACCGTTTAAAATGAAATAAGAGTGATATTTCATTGACGGGCCTATAGTATAACGCTAACAACACTATGTTTGTATAACGGTAATGACGTCACGTCAAAATATATGCACGGCCGTGCAATACCATATTTACGACGTCGCAAAATCGGCACGGGTGTGTGATAATGTGGTTTAGTAATGCAAATTTACAAAAAATATGTTTTATTTTCAAGATATTTATTTTTTCCCTTTCATATTCTAATTTTCATTTTTCCAATTCTAACTGTAATTTTACTTGATTCAATTCGTTTCATAAGAGTTTGTTCAGTCCCTAACGCTGTTCCTAACAGGTGGCGGCTTCTGCGGCATCATCATTCTTATGCAGATTAGCGAATTCATTTTTATGAGACTCTAAATGATTAACAGAGTCTCTTAATGAAACACAGTATGACTTCAACTCCTGCAACGTATTGGAGATTTCTATCAAACGATCTTCTAAATTTTGTTGTATTGTCAACGAATCGTCATGTACTTTTTCAGTGTCTGACATATTTAGGTCATCGGGTATTTTCACATACCCATAGAATATTTTCATGTAGAAAGATTTTCTTTTATCATCCTGTTGAAAAAAAAATGATCGTGATGTTTTTCATTGTTTAATCATTAAGTTTTTAAATGACTGATCCAATATCAAGGGAAAAGTTCAGTAATTCAAAATAAGAATAATATTGTGATATCTAGAAAGACATCTATAAAATTGAACAATTTCTAGATATTTGTTATAGTATTGCGAACACAACAAAAGCCTTTATCTCAAAATTCGAATGAAAGTAACAAAAAGAAAAGTGAAACGACCTGTGTCTATTATTGCGGAAGTAAATAGACATTCTAAAAAGAATTATCAATAACCTCGGGGCGAACATTATTTATTGGCTTACATACTAAGCATGTCTGCAAATGAAAATAAGATGTAAAAAAAAACATTAACTTTTAACTGTCATCTATGTAAACATATGCAGTACCCAGAAAAATCTATAAAGACAAAAAGAAGTATTAGCTAGGGACAATTCTAGGTTTTATGCCTCCGGAATGATTTATGTTTTAAATATAAATGGTAAGTACTTTAAAGTCGAATAACAGAGCAGGAATACTGCATACAGGTTTTGCATTATTACATTGATTACATTTTTTGCGAAAATTATTCGCTATTTATCCCTTTTTAAAGATGCGTTCGGAACATTTGTCTAGCAAATAATTGTCAAAACATTGTATTCCAACCGAATAACGCTTTTTGTTGACAATTTATGTTATTAAACTTTATTTCTGTTTACATAGTGTTACCATTTTGTCACGTGTAATGAATTATCCAATGAAAAGTTTCAGTATCTGTTTGACAGTAGCATGCAGACACGTTTTTAAGAAAGAAATTGAATTGAAATTAAGTTAAAATGCGCGAACATTGGATATTTTTATGGGAAAATCGTTACATTATAAAAGACATTCAATGATTAACCACAGGTGGCAGTATCAGTGTTTGGACACCCCATCCCTATCTGCCCCTGGACCCCTACAACAACCATGAAAAAAAATCAACACACTAAGGCTTACTATAAGGTACCAAATACAAAACCACCGATGAAATCATATAAAAAAATTTTTTTCCCACTATCAAAATTATAGTTATAGAAAGGTGAAAAGCCTACTATATGATCATTTGCCACGGGAAATCGTCGTTTCGGAGACTGAGGCGCATTCCGAAGGCATTTTGCTGCATCATTCATTTACATCAATATAAAGAACTTGAATACCACAGCTTATTTAATTCAAGTTTAACGAATATCAATAATCTATCGATTTTTTCTATTTCACGGTAATTTTTGACTTGTCGCTGCCATTTTGGATTCTGATACCTGTATGTTATGCGCAATCTGATTGGACGTTAAATTTGGCTCGTCTAATCAGATCGCGTATTTCAACCCAGGTATCAGACTGCAAAATGGCTACGCCAATTCAAAAAATACCGTGAAACAGAAAAAATCGGAATGATAATGATATTCGTTAGACTTGAATTAGATAAGCTGTGGAATTCTAGTTCTTTTTATTAATGTTAATGAATGATGCAGCGAAATCCTGCCGGAATGCGCCTCTGTCACCGAAACGACGATTTCCCGTGTTCCACATTGTTTGGCAAATATGAACAAATAGTAGGCTTTTCACCTTTCTATAACTATAATTTTGATAGTGGAAATTTTTTTTTATGATTTCATCGGTGGTTTTGTATTTGGTTCCTTATAGTAAGCCTAAGAGTGTTGAATTATTATTTTTTCAGGGTTGTAGTAGGGGTCCAGGGGCAGATAAGGGTGGGGTGTCCAAACACTGATACTGCCACCTGTGTGATTAACCTGCTTGGAATATTTTTAATGAATGCAAAGCAGATATAAGTATGTTTACCCGTGGTTAATTTTGAAGGATTCGTTTGCACAAAACATGTCGATCCCGCAATTTTGAGATATTTTTTTCAAAATTTTCATTCATCGTGAAAGGAGATAGATGTCTCAATATTTACCGTATACTGAGAGATAGATATAAAAATATGTCTTACTCAAAACAATGCGATAGCAAAATGACAAAATGATGACTGACGGGTAATACGAGTACGCTTCGTCGATTTATATATCTATTGTTTTGTTTTTGATGATCAACAAAATATCATGTAATGCTAATTTGATCATCATTGACGAGACAAATGACCGAACGTCTGGATTTAAAAGTAGAAAGCAGAAGATAATGTCATGATGACTTAATGCATCACTCTTTCACCATAGATACACTTCAGCTTGATTTTAGAAGGGAAAGCTACACGTTTTTAATTCCTATATACACGCGCCTCTTAGAATTAGCCATAAAGGAAAACCATTGAGAAAACATGACCGCGAGTAAGGTTCGAACCCTAACCCTAATCGGTAGCCAAAGGTCCATCTTTTTTACTGTGAAATACAAATAAAAACGGGATGTTTATAATAACACTAAAATAACATATTCAAGAACCAATAAAGAAAATTTATGATTATTTACATAACAGCAAATAACTCACTATTTTGAAAATATCAAATGGAAATGGCATGTGTTCTCTTTCCAAGCGTGCTACTATCTTTGCTCGTCTGACATGAAAACCGTTCAGTGAAGTGTTCTCTATCTCCCTGTATGTGTTCATCAGTTTCGCTATCATCATGTTCAATAGCACAACAATAATAAAGAACATAAATGCCATCATTACCATCGCACCAGCAAATCTGAAACGTTAAAAGATAACAGAGTAAGTGTTTTAAAACTGTAAACTTTCATTTTAAAACAAAAATATATACAAAAAGAGAATTAAATGTTCACAAATGAATGTTTTATATATCAAAACAGATTCAAATCCATTACTATTCGGTAAACATTAGTATATCACCTATCATATTAATATATGAAAAACATTCAATTATAACGCAGCATAGACAATAAAGGGTGCAATACTTTGCTTGGTGAAATGAAATATAAACATGTCGAAATCTATTTAATCACAATGGCTTTGATATTAATATGGTCGAATTTTAAGAATATCTAAACAAATAAGTATCTGATATCCCATTCCATGTTATTTAGGTTTCATGAAAAATTTTCGCGAAGGACACGAAGGTAGAATATACGAACATAATTGTTTTAATTTTATGACTTTTGTTTGATATTTATTACGATGTTTTACAAATTCTTGCAGATATTTCTTCAAAAATTTAATACTAATTGAAGAATGAATAACAAATGAAAATAGATAAATATCATAATTACTAAAACAACTAACAATCCTGGTTTCAAAATCGCAAAACATTTATAACACAAATGTCTTGTAATAACACGAACGGCTGTTTATATTGATGTAACTTACTTATACCCATCGTCTCCAGTGTATTCAACAATACCGTCCGATTCAATCATGATTCTTATACCAACAATCCCTATCTTCCAAAACGACCTATAAGAAATAAAATAATATCACTTATTTACAGTAGGACGACATATTTTCATATTATTTTACTAGTAAATGTACTGATTCCTAAATTTACGTATAAAGCTTTTTTTCGTAACTTTTCAAAAATTATCCCTTTCGTTGAATTGTTATTCATTTAGATTGGTCCTTTAAAAATGACTTTCTTATACATTTTTTGGGCAAGCATTGATTTTGTTGTCAATATCACACTAATACTCTTATGGTCATAAAAGGACATTTAGCTTATTATATTCCAGGTGCCGTTCAGTAATTACTTCACGGAACCATTACGCTCTTGTGTATGACCACCCAATCTAGCTAGATAGTTTCTTACATGAAAAATCCAATTTTGGAATGAACTTTAAAATAAGAGATCATAAGATTTTCTTTCATGTCCGTGAAACATCAACAAGATTTCTATGACAAATATATTTTACTAATTTTTTACTAAGTGATTTGGTTTAAAGGTAAAGGTGTGAGTTATAGTTCCATACAGTATAGACATACTTGCAGGACAACAATCGTATAAAGTTGCATGTATGTAAAGGGGCATTGATTTAAGAGCCTACATAGATTAAAGTAAATGACATAAACCTGAAGCACTGCCTTATAATTAAAGAAAATGTAGTATTTATTTCTAAATGGCAGGGAGAGCTTTCTGCGTACACCTAGTGTTTCCTGCACAATGGTTTGAGAGAATATCTTATAAAAGACAATTGAAAAAGACCAATTTGGCCAAAAATATTATTGAATTGTTAACATCACAAAATGGAAATGGTACCAGAATAAGTGCCATATTTGTTTCCAATGGGTTAGTTTACAGCTGCTAAACCTTTACAGGACGAGGTATTACCCGTTCATTTGATGGAAACCGGGCTAAATTGATAATATTTATGATGACAATGTACAAATGCTGGACGTTCATTGGTTGTATTTCATTAGTTGTGTTTTCTTATATAAGCATACTTTCGAATCCATTATATGTTAAAAAAATGATGGATATTTTGTAGTATGTCGACACTGACCGTGTCATAGTTTAACATAATATATGTTTATCACTGGGTAATCATAAAATATTGCCAACATGTATTTTGAAAATATATCTCAAATCTGATAAATATATTTCTTATTTGATATAAGAGAATGATTAAAATTATATCGCTAGACGGAATGTGCATTGCAATACAAGAACCTTCAAGGGACTAAACTATTTAATTCCTTTTATTGTTCTTTGGGTTATATAACAAAATACTTGCGTTGTTTCTTCGTGTAACTGAAGCGTATTTTCAGCCTTCAATACCAAAAGAAATGTTCCGGAAAATACGACGATCGTGATAGAAAGGATAATCCCAAACCTCAGGATATCTTTTACAAACATTTTCTGTAGCGAATCGACGAACACCCCGGTAAACCTACAAGTAAGATGTAAATATAATATTAGTTTAAGGTTCATATTTTTGATCTAATCTACTGCGACTGAGTCTGCAATTCTTTTATGGTATATGGATACTTGGTCTGTTGTGAAAATACGAGTTTATGAAATGGTTCATAACATAATTTTGCGTGTGAAACAGGTTAACTTCGACCGAGTATCGTTTTCTAAGATATTTGTTACGTTTGTTAACTCAGCTCAAAAACTGCTTACTAGAGAGTAACTGTAATTGTTTAAGAAAAATCGTTTGTCTTATAGGTTACTGGTACAAAAATAGCTTTTGCCAACTGTGCAGGGAAAATACTAGTTTCTAATATTTCATTAAAATATTAGTTTCATTCATTGTGAAGGTTCAACGATCTTTTCACCACTGACCTCTTGACCACTGACCATTTAACCACAAACTGATTTAAACTGAACCTCTTAAAAAAAACCTGAACGGTTTGAATAACATCTATTAAAAAAGCTTTTAAAAGATTAAAAAAGATGTTTTCCAAAATGAAAATATAAACTTTTGTAAAATATAAAGCACTTTTAGTGTTCTGTGGCATGCTAAACGTTGACAAATTTAATAAATCTATTTTTGGTCTATATCCTATATTTATATTGTATAACTCTATTGTATAACTTTATATTATATATCATAATATTTATTCAATCCTACTGAATATTTGTTCATCATAAATAATATTTGTGTGCGATAATTGTCTTTACGTATGTTGTATATTTGAATATATGTTGTATATTTGAATTTATATATATTTATTGTATTCAGAAAAAATATTCATTCAATAATTTGAATCATGTGATAGAACACTCGGCATATTAAGCCCTGCCTATATATTAAGCACGAATTTCTGTCAATTAATCTATTTTTTTGGTCTATAACAATTTTTATATTGTATAACTCTAATTCTATATCATATATCATAATATTAATTCAATCTTACTGAATATTTGTTCATCATAAAAAATATTTGTTTGCGATAATTTTTCTTTATGTATGTTGTATATTTGAAAATATATATTGTTTATTTAATAAATATTTATTGTATAATTAAAAAATATTGATTGTATTCTGAAAAATAATCATTCGATAATTTGTATCATGTGATTGAACACTCAGCATATTAAGCCCCGCCTATAAATTAAGCACGAATTTCTGATAAAGCGTTATTATCCTGATTAAACTAGACTATAGAGTAATGGAAATGATCAGTGGCCGATTGAATGTCACTTGTAAATAGTGCATATGCTTAATCCTCCTTTTAAATATATATGTATGTCTAACAAATGGAAATAGATATTAAAGTCTTCAGGACGACATACAATCGTATAATAATGTTTTTTTTCCCATTCATATGCCTTATAATGCATAACCACGATATGAACCTATGTGAGGATATCATGTAAAATGACTATAGGATCATCTAAATGTACATATACTCTTGTTTATATGAAATATATATGAGGAATCACATAAGAGGACTAAGAGATCATCTACATGTACATATACTCTAGATTTTACAGAAGATGTATGAGAGGGTAATATAAGTTAAGCAGGAGATCATCTAGATGTACATATACATAAGCTGTTATGGAACAGATATGAGGGATCACCTTAGATGACCATGATGTCTTTTAGATGCATAAACACTCTAGTTCTTATGAAACATACATGAGGGGATTAGGTAAATTGACTAGGGGATCATCTGGATGTAAATGTATTCTTTTATATTATGGAAAATTTATGAGGGGGTCACGTAATCTGAGCAGGGGATCATCTAGATAAACATATACACGATATTTATTTGTAAAATATATAAGGGGAACACGTAAGATGACCAGGGGTCTTTAAGATGTTAATATACTCTAGTTATCTGAAACACAGGAGAGGGGATCACGTAATGCCCATTTGATCGTTTGTATGTAGAGATTTTCTTGTAATCAAAAGAACACGTTTGAGAAGATCACTTCAAATGACCAAAAGATCCTAAAACGTCCTTTGCTCTTGTTTTGATAGAATACATATGAGGGGATCATGTAAGCTGACAATCGGATCATCTACATAATTTGAACCAAGAAAGAGGGTATCAGTTGAGATGACCGAAGATTATCTAGATGTAAAGCAACCAGAGGATTAAGAACAAATCCTATATTTGTGATGGAACATGTATGAGGGGATCACGCTAGGCGACCAGGGTATCATGTACATGTACAAATACTTTATTCATTATGGCCCACGTATGAGGGTATCAATGTGAGATGACCAGAAGATCATCTAGATACATATACTCGTTAAGCGACATTAGGGTTATTTAGATGAAAATATACTCTGTTTGTTATGGAACATGTATGAGGGGATCACGTAAGGGGACCAGGGGATAATGTAGATATACATATACTTTATTCATTATGGAACATGTATGAGGGGATCGCGTAATATGACAAGGGGATCATTTAGATGTACATACGAGAGATGATAAAAAATTAACGGGACTGGGACTGTCAGTTGAAGAATTTTCAACCTTTCACTAAATGTTATATATCACAATTAATCGGAAAACAATACTGAATGAAACAAAACTGATGCTATATCTAATCTGACTACGCAAAAAGCTTGTCCGTAACAGCAAATTAAAAAAAAAACATGATAACGAACATCAGGCGCAGCGCTGACATCTGGAGCTTTATGATTTGTATATTTTACAATATGGCACACTTAGATTTCAAAATATGTCAAAACGTCACGAGCCATATCTTTGACGTTCAGAAAAAATGACTTCATTCAAACCACATTTATATTTGCAATAACTATTCAAGCGTCACTTGTTACAGAAATACTCGCGTTAAACTATGTCGTCAGAGCGTCTTAAAATCAATCAATAAGAAAAGTATTGCGAGAAACTGTTAAAGAATAGAAAAAGATTACGGCTTTCAAGGGAAAAGTTTCAGGAAGCCACATCATCGTTTTTTTATTAGCATAAACGATTAAGAAAAGGTAATAGAGAAATGGGGGAAAAAGGGAGAGGCAGAAAGAAGAAATTTTCATGGACGTTGGTGACGTCAATCCCCGAGACGTTTAAAGATGACAGTCAATTGACTGCGGACATCGTCAACGATGTTCTGGCAGTAGCTACGGGACGGTGCAGTCAACTAAGGATTTTAAAATGATAAATGTTAATACATTTATATCATATATAATGTTCTTGGTTTACAATTGTATAAATTATTTTTTTATTTTACGTAGTAGTCTTATGGAGAAATTGTGTCAACAATTTTTGAGTCACTGTTGCGTTTTATTTATTTTAAAATAATGACAAATTTTGTTCTTAGTTGTATCATTTTCTTGAATATATGATACATTATCATTCAGCAACATCATATTACATTGGCCTACTTCGTGAATGAGGAAAAAAGCTGCTCCGTTAAAGACACTCGCTTGTTACGTCGTTAATGTCAACTTTAAAGTTATACCGTGCGCCACATTTCTTTAAATGTACATGCCAATAACAGCAAAACTTTTTATTTGTTAATATTTCTTCTTGGTATTTTTGTATTGTATCATTGAGAGGATAGATATATTTTATGCTCCATGTATTATCTAAAACCTTGATTTTAAGTTCAACAAAAAAGTCATTTTACATTCCACATTTAATCTGGAATAAAACTTTCAAATGAGTCATGAGCCCTTCTTTCATCTGGATATTGCTATGCATACATGTTGGAACTGTAAAAACTAGATATGTGTCCATAGTACTCGGGTACCCCCACACTCCACTGTTTTCTCAATCTTATGACTGTAGGTCAAATAGTTTTTGGTTACATATGCCACTAGTTAAAATTTAAAAATCTTTTACTAATTCAAGGGCAAGAACTTTACAAATACTGAATTAATCCACAAGCAAACCCAATGTGCATATGTACACACGCTGACCAACATTCTTTTAAACTCTCAGTCCTACAGGTCAAACACTTTTTGAGCTATGCATGAACAAATTTGTTTGTTTTTTTGTTTGTTTATTTTACGCCTTTTCCCAACAGTATTTCAGTCATATAGGCGGGTAGTTTCCTAACCATCGTTCCTGGAGAGTTACACCAGTACCAGACAACCTTCCTCCGCGCTAAACTACCAAAGAATCTCCCGGGGATCGAACCCACGCCAGAGAGGTAACTGATTAGAAGTCATGGACTATAACCCCTCGACCACAGAGGCGGTATGAACAAATTGAAGATTGCAAATTTATACTTAGTCAAAGGCAATAACTGTAACATAACTGAAAACAAGAATGCATTTGTGAAAAAATGCTTTGCCACCGCATTAATATAACAGAAGTAGATTTTTTTGTTTCTATACAATTGAACTTTGCCATAATGCAGTAGAGTCTAGTGAATAAGAATCAAGGTCACATTTCAGCATTCCAAATCATTAGACACATGTGCTGATGTTTCTCATGTTAAGATATAACGGCCATAGTGCAATAATTGATTTAAAAATAAAAGAATTTTTTATTGACACAAAATATATATTAACTGTATAACATAGCTTTTTTAAAATTTTAAACGTAGGTACAGTAACTTTTTCTTTAAATAAAAGACAAACAAAAACAACAAGAATAAAGATCAACAAGGCAAAGTCAACGTTCACAGGACGCAGCCCCCCCCCCCCCGACACACCCACGTAGGGCACCCAGAAGACACCAAACAAAACCCTGGAGTTGACATAAGGGCGGCAAAAGGAGAGGGACATGTAATGCATGAAATAATATAAACTAAAACGGGCCCATATGGGAATTAAAGGGATAAGGGCTGAAAGTGTGAAAAGGGGAGGGGATAAAAATGGGAGGGGGATGAGAAAATACCTACCGTAAACGACAATCCAACAAGGCAGACATCACAAAACATGTAAACATATAAAAACAAGTAACAATACAGACATGAAAAACACGTGAACGAACACAGAGGGGTACCACCTTGGAA